TATATAGGGTATATAGTAGGTATATCGGTATATTAGGGTCCCAGGGTTAAGGGCCCATACTAGGGGCCCATAGGTTCAACCTTAGTCTTTGAGTTGAATTTGGGGTCTGGGGTTTGGGGTTTGGGGTTTTGGGTTTTGGGTTTTTTGGTTTAGGGTTTTGGGTTTTGGGTTTAGGGTTGAGGGCTTTGGGTTGAGGGTTGAGGGTTTAGGGTTTAGGGTTGGGGGGGTTGAGGGTTTTGGGTTGGAGTGTGTCTTTGAACTGAATTGCCGGGGGGTGGGGTCTTGTGCTCTGGGGTTGAGGTGCTGTTTTAGTGGTTCTCTGAGGTTTAGGGTTTAGGGTGATGTTTTCGCGATTCTCTTTGGTTTTATTCGGGTTATGTCGAACCGTAGCAGCTAAACCCTAAACCCTAAACCCTAAACCCTAAACAAGAGCGAGAGCTTTTGCTCAGGGGCCTCTTCCGCTTCACGTGCTTCCCCCGGTGGGGAGCCTGGACCACCCGAAGGCCTTGTTGGGCCGTACTTAAAGGATCGCGGGACTTAGTAAGTAGGGTGATAACCAGGGTAACTATACTTATAACCTTACTTACCAAGTCCCATGGTCCTCCAAGTAGATTCATCAGAATGCCACTCCTGTTCTTTGCGTTCACTGGGTCTCATCAGTCAGCGGTCATATGTCATAGCACGAGCAGCATGAGCATTGCCAGCGTTGTTACTCTATCTGTGTTGCTGCCGCCTCTTCCGCTTCTTCTTCTTCCTCTTCTTCTTCTTGTCCTTGTCTTCCTCGTTACTACGATGACAGCGACGACTGCTGCTGCTGCTGCTACTGCTACGGCTACGGCTACGGCTGCGGACGACGAACGGCGCTGGTGCTGGCGAAGACGACGATGCCACATCTCCGACTCCGACTTCTAGCTTGGCTGACGTTAGTGCCGCGACGGCTAGCATGTCGAGCTTGTGTCAGAGATCGTGTCGAGCATGAAGTGGCAAAGTCGCCCAGAAGCTCGTTTTGTTCTGGCGGCTGCGTTTATCCGCAGGCCAATGCGAGTCTTGGCTCTGGTGGAAGGCTTGCTTGCTGCTTGCTGTGTCAGAGATGATCGTTTAACAGCTTTTGAGTGGCAGGCCTGGCCCTTCTGAGAACCTCCTGGAGCAGTTCCACATTGGTGCGACGTTGACCGGTTCGGCGCAGGCCACACCACTCAGCAGGAGCCCACACTGTCTCACGGCTTCGGCGCCCCTCTTTGCCAGGCAGACTACCGCTCAACCATGGAGCAATTCGGAAACTGGCCCGGGGCTTCTTAGGTCATTGGCATCTCATCGCAAATCGCCACTTGCATTATGAGCCCCATGCGAAGCTTTGCTGAGGGAGACTCCCATGCACGTGCCCCAATCGTTCCCACTTCAGGCCAGGGACCCGTTGAAGCATCGTGTCGAAGTAGCTGGCGTTTGGTTCCTGCTTTCTTGGCGAGGTTGGAGCCGCACCGGCAGGGGGCTCTTGATTCGTAGTGCCTTCTGAGTCTGCTTCTTTTCATCTGCATTTGGAACCCTCGCCGACGACAGTTCATGGGGCTACACGGTTCAACCTGTGGAGTTTTGGAGATGTTTGGAGAAGACGTGGACTACGATGTTGCTAATGTTGCTGTAGCTTGAACATGCTGTTCCCAGGTGCCCAACTGCCCGCCTCCCGCAGAGAGTGTCATGTGGATAGACAAGAGGCCCTGACGGTGTTGGCTTTTTGGCTTCGTTGGCGCTTGGCAACAGCCGTCACAGCGTGCTCCTGTGATGCCACTCTGGCAGGCAGAACCCACACCCTGCTGACGTGCAGGCGGGATTTGCGACAGCATACTGCGGTTTACGTCCTGAGCATGGAAACCCGCACCCGAAGGCAGAGCATCAACGAATATTTGGAGAAATGGCCTGTGCCTGAACCTGCTTTTGCATGGTTCTGTCACTCATGTCTTCGGCCCAGAGTGCTTCATATGCCTGTGCAGCACGAGATTTTTCCGGCTTAAGTGGCGCCTCCCCAGTCGAGTGGAAATTCTAGGGTTTAGGGTTTAGGGTTTAGGGTTTAGGGTACAGTCTCGAACAACTGCCTTTATGAGCCACTCTAATCACTACAGCCCAGCAGGGATCACGTAAAGGGCAGCCCATGTTACCCAGCGATGAGTCCAGCGCTGGCCTGCACAAAGAAGGCCTCAGGCCGGGACGGACTTATCCGACAAGAGTGATGACACATTAGAGTATACTCTATGCTATACATAGTACATGATAGCATATTATAACGAAGGTATACTCTATGCTATACATAGTACATGATCGCATATTATAACAAAGGTATACTGTATACTATACATAGTACATGATAGCGTATTATAACAGATGACCTAAAGTTTCAATAGTCTTGCAGCCCTTACTGTCAGGAAGCGAGCCAGGGTGGCCGGCCCCGGCGGCGCGCCTCGGATCGGTGTGGAAGTCGTGCCATCTGCCTCAACCCTCAACCCTCAACCCTAAACCCTAAACCCTAAACCCTACAGAAAGGGCTACCGTGGGGCCTGCGTTTGTGAAAAGGTACGTTTAGCGTTAGCGCAGGCGTTCACCTTCTTTTATCATAGTTCGATGATTTGTGAATGGTTCCATCATCTGTTCTGGGCAAAGTCTTTGTGTTATGTTCAAAGTCTTGTTGTGCATGTGACCTTGCATGTTGCATGTTGTTACTGTTGCTTGTAGACACAAACTATGGCTAATTAGTTCTGTCGTTCTGAAACACAGTTGTTGTTTATAAGCAGGGCCGGTGTTTGTAAACAGGGCTGGCGTTTATAAACAGGGCGGTTGTTCATAAACAACAGTACTGGGATT